ATTTACACACTTTTATATGCTATATAAAATATAAATGGTAAAAAATAATTAAAAAAAAAAAAACAATGATAAAAATCATAAAACCACTAAAAATACCCTTAATTTGTCATACACCGAATTATGAATCATTACAAAAAAAAAAAAAAATATTTATTCTTTTATAATATATTTCACCAATGTGTAAGTGAAATGAAAAAAAAAAGAAAATTAGAAAATCCTTTAAAACGAGTAAGGCACGCTACGAGTAAGAATTTGCAGTTTCTTTTTAAAACACGCCACGCCAATTTTTTTTTTTTTCTGTTTTCCTCCATTAAAACTTTCCAGCTGACTCGATCGCACTCGTGAGATTTCAACGGTCTCGTCACGGAGCGACACGGTGACAATTAAATCACAGGTTTTCTCCGTTGATCATGACGGATTACTATACCCCTTATATACCCCTCCCCCCCTTCCTTATAACCACCTAACTACCATCAGTATAAATCTTACTACTTTGCCTTTAAAATTTCTTTCATTTTTCTATCCCTTTACAATTGTTTCCTCTCTCTCTCTCTCTCTCTCTCTCTCTCTTATTATTTGTTTTTTTAGCCGCCATTTTTTTTTGTCTACCCTCACTCAAAGTCATATCATAGTACCAGGTATTACTGTAACAGGGAAACAACATTTAAAGGGGGTCGCAGTTTACTTATTAACCCTTTCTTCTCATTTTGTTTTTTTTCCTTTCTTTATTTTTCTACTTTTTAGTTGTTATCATAGAGTTGGTTTAGGGTGATGTATATATATATATACAACTTGATTACCTGCTGTCAACGATTATCATCACGTTTATACATATATTATACCGAAAGAACATAATTTCTACCTGTAATATACAATACATCATACATAATCTACGATTTTAATGACAACGATGATGGATGTATCCTATTATACTTTTAAGAAATTCGAGTTTTGAGGTTATAAAATGGGAAGAGTGTACAGTGGCGACGTCTATGTTAATACGAATTGAAGTAGAATGATAAAATGGTAGCTGGGTTATTAACGAGGACACTAATTAAAGATCTCTTTCTGTTTCATGCTTCGCCTGGGGACGTACATCGGTCGTTGAATTCTACTGCTTGCATCGTCTGGTTTATTGTAGTATGTAAGTAAATCTTTTATCTTTTATCTTTTTTCTTTTTTCTTTTTTCTTTTTTTTTTGTGTTTTCTTGATATTTAATATATCTTATAAATTATGTAGATGTACAGGCATGAAATTGATGTGTAATTAAGATGAGAGTATTGAATACGTGCAAAAATATTGATTATTTATTAGGTAGATATTTTTTTATATTTTTTATCAGTATTTAATTTAAGTTGTCAATGTTATACTGATAATTATGAAAACGGTAGGTATTTTTTAATAATTTTGATCAGTGTCTTGAATAATTGGTCAATATTTTCAATATTTTTTTTATTAGTATATTTTAAATAAATAGTTAGTATTTTGAATAATATTTATATTAAATGTTAATATGTAATATAAAGAAGTAGTAGTATACTGATTAACATATTATAACAAATCACGAGTATACTTAAGTTGCACATGCAAGAAACTTAAATAAATATATTAATATATAAATATATTAAATATTTGTTTATAAAAAGTGTAGTATTTATATTAAACAAACTTTTATATAAGTTGACCATTTATCTTACAATATACTTATCACAAATATAATGTACATACATTAATGTACATTGAATTTTTCTGCAACTTCTTCAATCGTTTTACATAAGTTAACACTTTCAAAATTTATTGTTGCTTTTCCATGAATATATTTGTTCAGTATTATTTCTATTAAAATTTTCTATTGCACACACTAAAAAAATACTTCAATAAAATACTTACTACCGAACTGTACCAAATATGAATCATCTAAGAAAACTCGTATGCAATAACTCTAAAGAATTTATTCAAACCACGAGAAATAAAATATTTTTATGAATTCACAGAAAAAAAACAAAATACACTAATACACACGACGTACAATTTTAAATAAAATTTCTCTCGTATAATAAACTTAATAATGAACGTCAAAAAAAAAAAAATCGATCCCATTCGATTCACACAAATGGCCAGAATAATATCTCCAATCAGAAATATGCAGTAAGATTAAAAAAGAACAATTTATATAACGTTTATTCGAGGTTCCCTCCACTTATCACGTTTATACTTACCGACATACATACCATCGTACGATCATACGATCGAAGATCATCGATGCAAGACCGATTACCGATCATCAACGATCTATAGTGATCGAATCGATCGATCGCAAACAACGCGTTCTGCACTGTGATCTTTCTCTTGCTAAGAAAACTTTTGTAAGAGAAACAGGGAAAGAGAATTGGTTGGGGGGGGGGGTAGAAGATAAAGGGGGGTACGGGGGTAAAGGAATATGAAGTAAAAGCATGAAAGGGTCCGCGATTTCTCGTCGAGTGTTCTGCACCGAAGTTTTTGTTGTTCCTGTTGTTGTTGTTGTTTCCTTTTTTTTTTCTTTTTTATTATAGGCGAAAGCAACTCGGTTCGATTCGGCCAGCAGGTTTCAATTACGCGCCGGTGTGTCGGCCTGTCTGATGTTGCATTCCCGCTCTCATTATGTGGAATATGAGAGCTCGTGCTAGATGTTCTTCTTCCTTGATTTTCAAGCAGCCTTGGCAGCCGCTGTTACTGCTGTTACTGTTGTTGTTGTTGTTGTTGTTGTTGTTGTTACTGATACTGCCAGTTATGCTGCTACCTTTCGCTGATAGCTCGATAGATATATATATGTATATGTATACTTTTGTACTTAAGACACAGACACCTGTGCTGGCCTTTTAACCTTTTTCAACGTCTCTCTTATGGAAACTGAAGGAAGGCTCGATGATCATTCAATCAGATTTTCAAGTAGCCTTTACATACTTTTAAATGGGTCTATTGATGTACAGGATATACCAAAAGTTTTTAGATTAGCTGAAATATTTTTAGGTTAACTTTTAAGTTGTTTATTTTTAGATTTATTTTAGAATTTTTTTTTGGGGAATTTTCTCTTTAGCATAATTTATTTTTTAGATTTTAAATAACTTTTTAAGCTTTTGATCGGATTTTAAAATAATTTTTACATTGTTTTAAATGGGTTTATGTACAGGGTAAATCAAAAGTTTCTGAGTAGGTCTTAAAATGTGTAGATGAGCCTAATGTTTTAAAATGATATTTTTTAAATTAATTTTAATGTTTGGTTATTCTTTTACAGAGTTATTTAACTAATCCTTTACTGACCTGTATGTAAATGGTCAGCTTAAAATATCCTAAATGTATCTAAAGTTTTTAGGTAATTTTGTAGACTTTTTAGGGTTATTTATATTCTTGATTTTAAACAATTTTAAATATTATATTAGATTTAAAATTAGTTTTATATATTTTGAATAGGTGTATGTACGTACAAAGTTGATCAAAAATTCCTTGGCAGTTCCAAACATCTTCAATACATTTCAGGCTAGTTTATTTTTCAAGTTTTTAACAATTTCAAACATTTAATCAGATATTTCAGTAAGCTTATATACTTTTAAACAGTCATGAGTATGTTAAGTTTCTAATTGATTTCTTAATCTTTCAAAACTCTTGTAGTCTTAAATTTATTGTTCCTATCTTATGTTAAACAATTTCAAACATTTAATTAAATTTTCAAGTAATTTAGAATTGATGGTCAGTATACATGAACATTTTCTTCAATTTACATATTAATAACAATTTTTCAGTACATTAATTAGATGATTAGTACTTATAACAAAGACGTGATTGTGTTAGGATTCATTTAAAACCACATGAATATATTGACGCCAATAAATAGCAGTGCACAAACCGTATACAATATGTAAGATTTGATGTTTAAAAAATTGGACCCATTCTTAAGTACATTTAGAGCATGGATTGCAAAAATATCAACAATTTTCTCCTATCAGAAATGGTTTTGGAAATATAATATACCCAAATGTATCCAACAGTATATAAACTCTAAATTTTACAACCTGCACTGCGTATTGATCTATAAAACTTCTTTTTTCTGATTTATATAAAGATAATCAGTGTATATGAATTTTTTTTCAAATAAATAAATTCTCAATATTTATAATATCAACACACGATTGTCATAGGATCACATTAATTGAGGTTAACTAATTAATATATATA